AATATTTTCATACCTTTAGTTTAGACTTTGACTTTCTTAAATCCTATACATAGGAACTACGGTAAGCTGGGTGTTGAGGCTTTGTTCTGAAGCCAGCAGTGTACTATCGGAGTACCTCTCCTCTGTGCCAAAACAAATCACAGGCAGTTGCAGTGATTTGCATGCTTTTAGCTTAGATCCACAACCTTCTGCTTGTTTCAGAGAATGTGAGTGTGAGGCAGGCCACCTCCACCTTAAGGAGGCGCCTGGATTACAAACTACAGTTTTTCATTCATGCAGAGGTGGGGAGGGGAAATGCAATTCTCAATATAGTAGATTAGATAATTTTAATGTCGTGAGGCTTAATTAATCTAAGTCTAGTAACTGTACAATAAATATCTGACAAGAAAAAGAATGAATGAAGCTGAAAGTTTGAATGGTTGAGAGGAGATAGTTGTCCGTGGAAAGCTGAACTGCCTAGTTTTCGTCAGAGCCTTGTCACGGAGATCCAGTGGCCAGGATTCAAGTGCGTATTATCTTATGCATAGTAGGTACTCAATAAAATTTTCTGAATTGAACCAAAGGAACCTCAAATACACTGTAGGCAAGACAATGATACTGATTAACTCAGACCAACAGTGATAGCTTACGGTTACGAGTTTGAATCCATCTGTGGCTTGTATTCGTGACCTGGTAGAAATGGTGCCAGAAAGAGCAGGTACCCTGGACAAATGCACCAGTGCCCATAGGAAGCAGTGGCTGATTACACTGTGGGTCCCTCCACGGTTTCATTTGTGCTGTCCCACACAGGAAGTTAAACATATTTAACTCATGTTTAAACATTTAAACATGTCCATCAGTCCTTCCAGTTATATATATAAGCAAGAATCAAGACTTGTTTCACAAGGATCTTTAAGATTTCGATAATCCTTCCCACATCCTTGATCATGCGCTACCGAACTGATGTTAACAATACTTCTTTGTATCTTTCCATGATGACTGTTGGAAAAACTGGTTAAACCTTATATGACTGGGTCCAGGGTTGCTCAGTTCTGCCCTAGGGAGCTTCTAATAAGAGATGAATATTTGCAGTAGGTCTGGTTTGACTGTTCCCTTGGAGATCAATGCCAGCAACCACCCACGTTCACAGCCTACTGTGAGACACATAGATTACGGATCTTAATTTGCTTTAGTCCTATAGATATCAATAGTTAATGTTAACCTGACATCTTTTATGAGGTAGGCATGAGAGATATGCTTGATTTAAAGACCTGAGAGCACAGAAGAGAGTTTAAATGATTTGTCCAAGTCATCTAGTGAGCTTCGACACAGAACTGAGACCAGGACTTGTGTCACTTTGAACTCTGATTCACAGCACTTTCCACTACTCAGCATGACTCCAACACATATGGTATAACCAAGTTCAGGTAGAGCTGTGGTTCATGTGTTTATTGTCCATCATGCTTAAAAGAAAAGGCCTTTTTTTTTTTTAACCGTGTTTTCCTTGAAATCACTCAAAAGCCTGGTGTAAGCAAGATATATGGTCCTCCTTAGCATCCGGTTTCATCATCATCTTTGAGTGAGTAGTTTCCTTTCCCCTACATTTGTGGATCTAAATGAAGGAACTAAACATGAGAGTCCAGTCAGGGGTAGGAACATGGAGCCATGAGTTTACCCAGTAAAACATAGTCCTGAAGATCATCAGTTCTTTGGGTTATGAGGACGGTAAGAGTAGTGCTGGCCAGGGTCTCAAAGAGCCCGAGCAAAATCGGCAGACTGTCAGCATCAGCTAAGCAAAGAGCAGAAGTCCAGGGAACACTCAGCAAGGACTGAGCGTCAAGGTAGGGAAATGGCTGCCATGGCTCCAGGATTCAAGCAAGATGCATCCCATTATCAAGGAGGCTACACTGAATGGTAGGACGTCTCATATCCATGGCATCTGAGTACAAGGAGAGGGTCCCTATCCCTGGAAGGATGAGAGAAGATGCAATAGCAAGGATGAGTCAAGATTCTAGCAGTGAGAACTTGGCATAGGACTCTTTACATCACTAGATAATGATAAAGGGCACAGGCTGTTGCGGCTCAACCATGTTAATGGAGGAAGAAGGGCCAATGGTGGGGCAGGTACATGGAGAGATAGCTCACCGTGGCCCCAGATTTAGTAGTAACAGAGGGTCATGGACTCTGTGCCATTTTCAGTTATACTATGGGAAAGTGCATGAAGTTCAGAGTGACTACCATGCCCACAGCCCTCTTTGAAAAAGGTGGCGAAAAGGTCGTGTAAAGCTGCTTCCTTATGTCTAAGTCATCGTTACCCTGCCACCCTGTGACAGAGATAGGCACCTGCTTCCAAGACAACAAACTATACGGTGGTGGGAACCCGGCACAAGAACCCTGCCAGTTAGAGGTGCTCCCTTTCAATGGTGACTGCCTACCAAACAGATCTCCTCTTTGCTGGAGTTTAAAAGAGATGCGTATATGTGGAGAAGAAAGCAGTTGGTGGGGGTAGATGTGGACGCCCACAGATCAAATAACAATAGCTAACACTTATTGAGGACTTATTGCATGTCAGGTGCTCTTCCAGTGCTTTTTATGCCCGAACCCACTTAACCTTCAGAACTACACTATGAGGTAGTTCACATTTTCAGATGAGGAAAATGAGGCACAAGACATTTAAACGTTAGCTAAGGTCATATAATTAGCACATGGAAGAGGCAGGCCTTGAAGCCTGATCTCCAGAGCTGGATTTTCAACCACTCTAAGCAGTCATGAGAGAGTGGGAGACATGAGGCAGCAGAAGCCGTGAAGCAGAGAGACAGAGAGTAGAGATTAGTTAGATGTTAACAGCAGTAGGAGAAGCAGAGACAGAAAGTGCTTGAGTCACTAAATGGTGGAGCACACAAAACCTATGTCTACTGCTGAGGTGGTTTCAAACCCATCACTAGGGCTGCATCATGTCCTAAAAGCCCTTCCAGTTAGCTCCTCGGCGACACTTACCATCTCTTTGTGGCATTGGAACATGTTGGGGGTCTGGAAGGAAGAATTTTATCTCACTCCCCAAATTCTCAGACAGGATTCTAAAATATGAGAAACTGTCAAAATTGCATGAAACCAGCTACATATATTGCAAACACAAGTCATTATATTTTTATTCTCTGGCAGCATGAAACTGAAAATGTTTTTTTGAAGATGTTTTCCATGAAGGTGAAAAATAAAACACAGGAAAACCGTGATCATCTTGTTCAAACGCACCTGATTTTGACACTTTAGCGATACCAGGAGCACACGTCTAGGGATTTTCCTGGCTAGGGAAATGAACAAGTTTGTTCAAAGAGTGATGTGGTTGGTTTCCTGAGCAACTTTAATGGATTTGCACAACCTGAACAGAAGACTGTGGGCATCTGGCCACCTAGTCAATTTTTGACCAGACTCTGAGTAACAGGTTTGCCTGGCTAAGACTTTGTCTCCCAGGTAGAAAGAGGAAGAATTTATTTAAAAAATTTGCAAGCAGTCTTGCCCTGCGGGGTTGACAGGAACTTCTCTCCTACCAAGACCCTTTTCATTATATGATTGTAAAGCAAGTGTATGCCCTTTTTTTTTTCTTGTGGAAAACATGAATGAAGTGGAGCAACTTAAATACAGACATTTCAGAGTGAAAAGTATTGCATTTCATTATATAAATAGATACATTGTTAAGGTGTCATTTCTCTGCATTAGAACACTGCAGTAAAAATTTCTGCAGTCAAGATCTGCTGATGAATCCTAAAATCAGTGGGTGAAAATTTGGGGAGAAACAAGAATATCTTTCCGCCAGTACATTCATTAATTTCAAAGTGAGAAATAGTACTTTACAGTGGAGAAAATCAACAGACACCAGCTTATCCAAGTGATCAAGTTTAATATCACCAGTAATAGGATACATCTTTTTTCATGAATGTTGTACTGAGAAGGGCACGCTACTTCTGTGGCATTCTTGTCAAAAATGCATGACCTCAGTCTAATAATGAGAAAATATTGTATAGAACAAACTTGAGGGACATTCTACACGATAACTAATACTCCTCAAAAGTGTTATAATCATTAAAAACAATGCAAGACTTTCAAGCAACTTTCAGATATTGGAAGAGACTAAGGAGACATGATGACTAAATGTGACATGGGATCCTGGCTTGGGTTCTGGAACAGAAAAAGGACATTAGTGGAAAAACTGGTGAAATTCAAATAAAGTCTGTAGTTTAGTTAATAGCCACTAATGTACCAATGTTAATTTGGTACATTTGATTCTGAACTTTCTACAATGGTTATACAAGATGTTACCATTAAGTGAAGCTGGCTGAAGGGTATATGAGAACTCTCCGTACTATTATTGAAAGTTTTCTGTAATTATAAAATTATTTCAAAATAAAAAGTTTAAAAACTTTCTCAAATAGAAAAAATAATATATTTCTCCATCAAATCATTTATTTTTCCCATATTCTCTACCGAATAATTTACCAAATAGTCTATCATGTTCACACAGATTGGTGCTGCCACTTTTATCATTTTGCATTGCCGTCTGTGTCATATTTCTGGGTTCTTCACCCTGTCTGGTCTGTTTTTCATCTATAAATGTCATACCGTGTTCTGTTTTGCCTTTTTAAAACATGGCTTTGTATATCTTATATCTGCTGGAGTAAATCTACTTTTGTTTCTCTAATTTTTTCAAAATTAGCTATCCACGTACCTTTTTTTTCCTCCCCAGATGCTGTTAACAATCAGCGTTCCTATTGAGGTAGCCAGGTGGGATACTAACAGAGGATGCTGGTTCCCTCATTTGATCCAATCCTATAGATGCCGCAGAAGTGAGACGGAGGTGGTGTATTTCGGTTATTAATAAAAACTGTGAGAAATCCCTGGGAAGTCCAAGATGATTGAGTTCTGATGTGCCTGATGGAGGTGAGTGTTTAGGAGAAGGAAGCCAGCCCAGGACAGAAGACGCTGGAAGCCACGGACAGGGAAAATATTGAGGGGAACATTCTGAGTCCTTTTAATTTCCTTACAATGCCCTGGTTAGAACATTGATCGCCACCATCCTACTGCAGGGCAGAGAAACAGCATCATCTTCCAGCAGCCACTGGAGGCAATGTAGTGTTATCAGGCACAACCAGAGAACCCTGAGGGTAGAGAGGTGATATCTGTATGTGCAAATGAATGAGCTAGTCCTAAACTTTAACTCCCCCGCCATCACTACCCATGGGGGCCGTATTGTCACTTTTATTTGGGACAGCACCTCATTGTGTGGGATTTTTTCATGCATTATAGCGTGTTTAGTATCCCCAGCTTCTTGCCCTAAATGTCTGTTGTAACCCAGCATTATTACAGCAACCCCCAAATTTCACTCACATATTTCCAAATACCATCTTTGGTTGAGAAACTCTGGTTTAGATGATTAGATCCCAAGAGGACAATACCTCTTGGGAAAAGCTGTGTTGGGTGGAGGTACAGAAAACTCACTTGAGGTCAATGTCACATTATGTGTGTGAGTGAGAGAATGGGAAATTGTTGAGAACAGATCAAAATGGGCTCTTAGCACTAAAGAACCCTTCTAAGAATCTCTGTAAACTCACCACCAAGGGCACAAGCTAAAGCTTGGAATTTTGCCTATTCTCCTAGGGAGATATTACCATTGGTAGTAACAGATAATCCTAGGGAAATGTGACCTTACAGGAAACAAAAAATGAGACATCTGAAGAGAACAACCACTATATAAAAAAGGAAAAAATTAATTGACCACATAGAGCAAGAATTAGAATTGTAGGGGAGCAGGATTTGCTACCCCAAAATGTGTCTCTTTGGCTTGATTATTTTTAAGAGCAAAAGACTCAGGAAGAAACTTTGACCTTCTTCCCTAACTGCCTAAAAGAATTTAAGATAGAAGGCCTGTTTCAGGAAGGAGCTAATACCATAGATAACTATATTATAATATGAACTAGGTGTGGTAGACAGAGAGGAACTTAGCAAGACCCATTTGATCAAAGTCTTCTCCATGTCCCATTGTCTTTGCAAGGCATGGCAAACATTTGTTTACCAAACATTTGCCTTTCCTTCTCAATGTGCATTGCCTTTCTCCCCTTTGAAGTCCAAAACCACTACCCCCAACATCCTCCTTTGTCTTTAGCTGAAGATAATATTTAAGGTGGTGGCTTTGGCCATTTTGGTGAGTTACTCAGTTTTCCTGGATTTCTCTCATATATACATGTTATTAAATTTGTCCGACTTTATCCTGTTATCCTGTTTCATGTCAATTTAATTCTTAGACCAGCCAGAAGAACCTAGAGGGTAGAGGAATAGTTCTTCCTCCCCTATAGAGTTAAGCATAATAAATATCAATAGAGAGAGATAAAGTAGAGATATCAGTTGTCTGACTGTAAAGCAGAAACAAAGAGTCATAAAAAACTAGTTGAAGATTCTTAGTCTAAAATATATAATCACTGAAATAAACAATAGTCTGGTGCAAGAGTAGAATGTACACAAAAATCATATTAGTGAGCTGGAAGATCAGGTTGAGGAACTCTCCCAGAAATCATCAAGAAGGAGTATAGAATTCAAAGAATATGAAAGACAAGTTGAAAGATATGAAGCAAAGAAATAAAAATGTCAATTCTACATTTAATAAGAATCCCCAAAAGTGGGGTAAAAACCAAGGAAACAAAGAGACAATGCATTATTTTCAGGTACATGTGAAAATCAAAGATAGACCACATACTGGGTCACAAGGGAAATCTCAACAACTTTTAAATTCATCATTTAAATGGAAATCACAATGAAATTGCAAAATATTTGACAGTGAATAACAATGAAAGTACTTTATATCAAATGTTGTAGAATGCCAGCAAGTTACACTGAGAGGGAAACATATAACTGTAAATGCAGCTATCACATAGCAATGAGAATTAAGACTAAACGAGCTAGATGCCCAAGTCAAGAATAGAAAAAGAACAGCATAGTAAATCTGAAGAAAGCAGAAGTAATGACATCATAAATATAAGAGCAGATACTAATAGTGTAAGTGAGCAGAAGTGAGGCCATCTTGTTACACTAAATGGCCCCATCCCCTCCTCCGTGTGACTGCTCGTTGCACTGCAGGTACTCCAAAAAATTCACATGCTCTCCTGATTTACGGCCTCCACTTACATCTGTGCTCCCCAATAGCTTGATAAATTAAAAACTTTGTTCTATGAGTTTCTCTCCAGGAACAGGCTGGCCACAGGTGGGAAACACACCTACATGGTATCCATCAAAGCTGACAGAAGAATGGAACAATGTGATGCCTGGAGCCCATCACGCCTGGAGACCAACATCCCTGAACCCCTCCTCACTGCCCATTTTCCCTGTATAACTGCCTCAAGATTCTGTAATCTTTGAAGATGTGTCTTTGAGACATCAGTCACCTGTCTTCTGATTTGCTGGCTAATCTAATTAAACTTCATTTCTCCATCTCTAACTCATTGTGATTAATTGGCTCAGATCATGGTGAGCAGAGCGAGCCCATTGCTCAGTATCAAAATCTGGCGACCCAGATGGGACCAGCCTCTGCCCGTGGCTAGCCGACTTGCAGGAAGCTGTTTTGGGATTTTTCCCTACAGCTGCTGGGCGGCTTTTTTTTCCGCCCAAGGAATTCCCTTTTTGGCTTCCTTGCTTGCCAACTGCCTCGAACACTTCAGTGATCAGGAAACGAAGGACTGGATCATAAGCTGATGAGCTTACATCTGCAGCTAGGTGAGTCGTCCGGAGTGCACCTCCCAGATACTATATTCATTTTTCCTTGTCTGGGGGCCTTGGGCAGGCCAAGGTCCATGTGGTTTAGGCGCCGTTGTTTAAGGATAAAGGAAAGTACAGACTGCCTCGTATATTATCTGGAAGACTAGTCTCTGGTTTTTCTGTGGTGCACATGCCTGTATGGTCTGTTCTCCTGTTGAGTGTGTGTGTTGTTTCACTAGTCTGTGTGCATTTTTCTCTGTTTCAGAATCACACAGCACACTTCCAGTGCTGGTGACATCATCTGTGGGAACATGAAGTTTGCGATCTTTTCTGTCGTCAAGCCGGAATTGTACACCTCAATGTAGTCACTGCTGTTTGGATGTTAACCCTTAGGCGGAAGCTGTGAGAACACAGCCCGAGCATCTTTTCCCCCTCTTAGTCTGTCTTGTCCAGCACCTTCTTTGCCGTCACTGTGTGGAAGTTAAATTTGGGCTTAAAGTAAGCTGGACTTGGACTTCCTGCAAAATAGGAACTTTCTGCCAGGCACCTGACTTCCTACACCGGTGTTGAGAAATTAGATCTTACCTCTTACCTCTTTGGCTTGTTTAGCACTGATGTGAAAACTGTATGCTCTGGTGGAGTGGGATTTGGATAAGTCCTATAGTTATCTGGACACCTGGAGTCAAGCTCTGCACCCTTTTCTTGGTCCATTAATTGTCAGACACAAACTTTATTGCCATGGGCACCACTCCGTCCATTCCAAAAAAACAGCCCACTAGGGTACATGCTGGCCAGTTGGGCTAATTTCAGTTATAAGCCCATGACAAAGAAAAGAATGATCTGTTACTGTAATGTAGCCTGGCCCCAGTATACACTGGGCTCAGAAGAAAAGTGGCCCTGAAACAGGTGGCTCAATTATGACATGATCTTGCAGCTAGAATTATTCTGCAAGAAGAAGGAAAAAAAGTAATACAATTCCCTATGTTTAAGCCTTTGTGCTGCTATATCTAGACGAGGGAAGGGGCGACAACGGACCGAGGAGTCCTCTGGGCTCCTCCTCCTCCTCCCCTTTTTCCCAGGCCCACGGCTTGCCCAGGGGAAAAAGCCCGAAGGATTGCCAGGTCTAAGAGAGGGACTCTCTCCTTCTCGAACCCGGCAAGGGACACAATTTGGTCAGGGGGCCCTTCCCGGAGCGGGGCAATTTCCACTGTGACGATATCCCATAGGCATAAATGGACAAGGGCAACTAGCTGGCTTCATTTGGATATACTCTCCTTTCCCTACCTGGATCTTTTTAATGGGAAAAAGTTATATGCCTGAATGCCCTGTTCTCCTCCTGGGACAAAACCTTCTGTGTAAACTGAATGCTCAAGTGACTTTTGCTCCAGACCAGCTAGAGGAGCAAGTGCCACTGGAACAATCATCCCTACGGTTCCAGATGGCCCTGCTGGGGGTTCAAACACCACCGCCAGACCTGCTGCCGCCGGAGATCCTCGAGGAGGTAAGACTGGATGTGTGGACAGATGGGAAGCCTGGGAAAGCAAAGAATGTCCAGCCAATATATATATCCTTAAAAACCCAAAAGATAAAGCCTAACCTGAAACAATATCTGCTAAAACGGGAGGCTGAGAAGGGCATTCAGCCAGTGCTGCAGAAATTCCTGACGGCAAAATTAATCAGACCTGGCCAGTCGCCATATAATACTCCTGTTCTCCCAGTCTAGAAACCTAATTCAGTTGAATATCAGTTTGTTCAGTACCTTTGTGCCATAAACGAGGTGGTTCAGGACCCGCACCCTGTGGTGCCCAGCCCTTACAGCTTGCTAACCAACACTCCAGGTGAATACGGCTGTTTTTCAGTTTTGGACTTAAAGGATGCATTCTTCTGCATACTGCTTGTGAAAGAATCACGACAACTTTTTGCCTTTGAATGACATGACCCAGATACCCAGGCCACTCAATAATATTGTTGGATAGTGCTCCCCCAGGGCTTCAAAAACTCCCCTACGCTATTCAGGGAGGCCCTAGCTAAAGACTTGAGCCACTTACTATCGCAGGAAGGATTGCTGTTACCAGTATGTGGATGACTTGCTGATAGTGAGCCCCACTTATGAGCAGTGTTTGGCCAGCACAATAAAGACTTTGAATCATTTGGCTGAATGTGGGTATAAGGTCTCACAAGAGAGCACAGACCTGCAAACAAAAAGTCACATACTCAGGATTTACTTTGTCACAAAGCCAGAGGAAACTGCTGCCAGACCAAAAAAAGGGCTATGCATGCCTGAGCCCTGCCACCACCCAGCGACAGCTACGAGGATTCTTGGGCATGGCTGGTTTCTGTCGGATCTGGATTCCTAACTATGGTCTCATAGTAAAACCCCTCCATGAGGCTCTAAAAGGCTGAGACCAGGAGCCACTAGAATGGACAAAGGAATTTCAGGTCAAGGCAAAGTTAATTTCAGCCCCAGCTTTGGGACTTCCTGACTTGGACAAGCCCATCAGCCCATATGTACATGAAAGGCAGGGAATAAGCTTGTTAAAAACTGGGCACCACCCTGGTCAATGGCGCATTTTTCCAAATAATTGGATCAGACTGTGAAAGCCTGCCCTCCCTGCCTCAGGGCAGTGGCTGCTACCTGTGACATCCTGCTGAAAGCTAAAAAATTCACCCTGGGCTAACCCAACACAATATATGTGCCATATCAGGTACTTACATTATTAGAACAAAAAGGGGGATACTGGCTCACTTCAGGAAGGATGGGCAAATACCAGGCCATCCTTTTGGACAATCCAAATGTACAGATGCAAGTATCGTCCTCCCTAAACCCAGCCACCTTGCTCCCTAAGGAGACATCAAAAGCTTTAGAACATGACTGCTTACAAGTTATTGAGACAGTGTATTCTAGCCGACTTGATTTGTTGCACAGTCTGCTGGAAGAACTGACTTGGAACTCTTTACAGATGACAGCAGCTTCATGGATCAAGGTAAAAGACACATGGGATATGCAGTCATAACTTCACAAGAGACTTTAGAGCCTAAAGCCCTACCCCCAGGGACACCGGCTCAAAAGACAGAAATTATGGCCCTCACTCAGGCTCTACATCTAGCTCAAGGGACGAGAATAAATATATACACAGATTCCTGTTATGCCTTTGCTGTAGTTCATGCTCATGGGATAATCTGGAAGGAAAGGGGACTCTTAACAGCAGGAAAAAAAAAAGAAAATTACAGACATGGCCCTAAAATCTTAAAACTGCTTGGTGCTATTAATGAGCCTGCGCAGGTAGCTGGCCACCAGAGGGAGAATCTCATGGGTCCAGAAGTACATCATAGGGCCTCACCTACAAAAGACTGTACAACAGGTGATCAAAAATTGCATAATCTGTACAAAGAACAACCCCAAGACTGCTTCTGGTCCCCCACATCTGGACACCCAACATAAAGGAAATTGGCCTACTGAAGACTGGCAAATAGGCTTTACCCAGATGCCCTGGGCAGCTGAGAATTTCAGGGTTTTTTTTTTTTTTTTTTTTAGTGTTTGTGGACACCTTCACCGGGTGGTTAGAAGCCTTTCCCACTAGGACTGAAAAAGCATCAGAAGTCACTTTCATGTTGCTAAAAAAATCATCCCTAGGTTTGGTCTGTCTAATACGTTACAGAATGATAATAGGCCAGCTTTTGTCTCCCAAATAACCCAACAAGCGTCCAGAAGCTTAGACATCTGATGGATACTACACTCAGCTTGGAAACCTCAGTCAACTGGAAAGATGGGAAAAAATGAATCACACCTTAAAGAAGACCATTGCCGAAATCTGTCAGGAAACACAACTAACTTGGGATGAGGCACTGCCCCTTGCCCTGCTACGGGTTAGAGTAGCTCCCCGAAGCGGACTCAAATCGAGTCCTTTTGAAATTCTATATGGGAAACTCTTTCAGGCATCTTCCTCTGGGACTGAATTTCTGGACATTTTGAAAACTGTTATGATTACTAATTATGTTAAATTATTAAGCTCTATATTAACTTGTGTCCATGAGTTTGTTTCTCATAGGTCTGCATATCTGTGTGACATCCCTCCCCATGCATTCTGACCTGGTGATCATGTTTTGCTGAAAACTTGGAAAGACCAGGGACCCAAAAACCACATGTCACCCAAATGGATGGGCTCCTGTAAGATTCTTCTCACCACTCACTCATCCGTAAAACTTGCAGGTGTGAAACCCTGGATACATCACTCCTGGATCAAGGCAGCCCCCAAATCACAGGAAAGTATCCAACCTGTATTGAGGGAAAAATGGGTGGCAAAACCCCATGGAGAGCTAAGATATGTCTTTAAAAGAATCTCTTCTATCTACCCCTTCTTCTCACAGTTCTATTTACTGGGGTCAAAAGAAAAGTAACTCTTTTCCACACTATGGTCCCCCTAAAAGTCCTGATTCAGCAGGAAGTGGCTAGAGGAATTATGACGCCCTGTCTCTCCCTTGACCATAAGATTATGGGTTACTACTGATAGGGGGGAAAATTGTAAGTGAGAATAAGTGAGGCCATCTTGTTACACTAAATGGCCCCAGCCCCTCCTCCTTGTGACTGCTCGTTGCACTGCAGGTACTCCAAAAAATTCACATGCTCTCCTGAAATACAGCCTCCACTTACATATGTACTCCCCAATACCTTGATAAATTAAAAACTTTGTCCTATGAGTTGCTTTCCAAGAACCGGCTAACCACAGGTGAGAAACACACCTAACAGGTATCCATCACAGCTGAGAGAAGAATGGAACAACGTGATGCTTGGAGCCCATCATGCCTGGAGACCAACATCCCTGGACCCCCTCCTCACTGCCCATTTTCGCTATATAACTGCCTCAAGATTCTGTAATCTTTGAAGATGTGTCTTTGAGACATCAGTCACCTGTCTTCTGATTTGCCGGCTAATCTAATTAAACTTCGTTGCTTGATCTCTAACTCGTTGTGATTAATTGGCTCAGATCATGGTGAGCAGAGTGAGCCCATTGCTCGGTATCTATAGGAGATAAAACAAAGAAACTATAGAAATGATCAACAGAATAAAAAGCTAATTCTTAGAACAAAACTAAAATGTGAGCAACTTTCCAGTAAATTTGATCAAGAGAAAAACAGAAAATATACAAATAATTAATTTGGGGAATAAAAAAGGGTAAGCCAAAGCTGATACCAAGATTTTTGAAATCATGGGAGAATACTAGCATAACTTTATATCAATACATTTGCAAAGTTTGACACAGAGAAAATATTTGCAAAATATATGACAATGAAATTGATGGGAGAAGAAATAAAAAACTCAAAAAAAGCAATTACTCTGTGTGTAGTGATTTCCTTCTAAAGACTACAGCAAGGAAAGAGGGGAAAAGAATAACTTCTATAATGGAGAAACCTGACAAGCACAATCTCAGCCAGGTGATCAAGGTCAACATCAACAGGGATAAATCTTATTGATAATATGTACCCTTGATTTAATGTGATGAAATTGACACTCTAAATCTGTGGTCTTCCTCTCCAAAACCCATAACTTCCATCTAACCATGAGATAAATACCAAACAAATCTCAATTGAGGAACATTCTATATAAAACACCTGATCAGTACTCCTCGAAACTAAGTCATCAAAAACAAGGAAAGTCTGAGAAACTATTACAGCCTAAGACAAGACAACTAAATGTAACATGGGATCGTGGAACAGAAAAAGGACAATAGGTAAAAACTAAAGAAATCTGAATAAAGTATAATCTTTAGTTAATGATAATGTATCAATATTGGCTCATTAATTATAACAATGTACCATAGTATATATGTTATCGTAGTAATATATACCACATATTTACATTTTTATCATAGTATAAATGTACTGTAATAATATAAGATGTTAATAATAGGAGAGTGCAGGGTATATGGGAACTCTGTACTATCTTCTCAATTTTTCTGCAAATCTAAAACTGTTTTTAAAAAAGTCTATTAAAATTTAAAAATGTAATTATTAAACAATGTGAATTCATAATAAAAAAAAAATCTCCAACCTGTACCCCCAAAGGCATAAGTTTTACTCTATTTTACATATGTTATATAAATTATTTAGAAATAGAAAAGAGGCTGAAAATTCCCCAAACTATTTTGTGAGGAAAATAAAAAAAGGGAAAATTAATTTCACATGGAACACAGGAGAATAATCTTAAGTAGATTACTAGCAAATTGAATTCTCTAATATATGGGGAAGAAAACCATCATGGCTGAGTTAGTTTTGTCCTAGGAAGACAACGATGGACATCCATTGTATTTTACCATGTGGGGACCCACTCAGAACCCCAGAGTTGGTAAAAAGATTTAAGATTTAAGCTGAAGACATTTAAGATTCAATAGATGCAGACAGAAGCCTTCTCAGAGTGTTCCCTATCTGATTAAAAGCAGCAACTTCTGGGAACTGAGGCTATCATAAATCCCCCCTCCAGCGAGTATCATGGCCATTGAGAAGAAGAAAAGACCACTGGTACCTGCATAAACAAACATTATCACAAACTTTCTTGTATCCTATTCGTTCTTCTAAAAAACAATTTGTCTTTCCTAAAGAAACTTATTTGTTCTTCCTGTAAGAGCCTTTTCTGCCTCCTCCCTTTTCCCTAATAGATTAGGTACATAAGCCTCTAACTATAATCAGTTAATAAGACAATTATTTCTTTTGTTGGCTCCATACACATATGTACAAACTTCTCCTTCTGTTAATCTGTCTTTTGTCAGTTTAATTCACAGGACTCCAGTCACTGAACATAAGAGGGTGGAAGAACGGTTTGTCCTCTTGACAACCACATCAACATTTAGGTGAAAGAAATGTGATCATTTCAATTGATGCTGGAAAAACGTTAATAAAATGCAGTACTCATTCATAATTTACAAACAAAACAATGTAAAAACAACCTCTTAGCAAACTAGGAATAGAAGGAAACTTGATTAGTATAATAAAGGGTGTTTATTAAAACCCTACATCAAATACATTACACTTACCTGTGAAATTTTAGGAAAATTCACGCTCAAGTTAAGAACAAATTAAAATAGTTTGTCATCACAGCTTTCATCCAACATTTTTCTGGAGTTGGAGCAAAAGTAAGAAGACCTAAGAAGAAAAAAGAATGACAAGGGACAGAAAATGAGAAAATTGTCTATGTTTGATGATAACGTAAAAGTCTCCATAGATAATCCACAAATTATTAGAGATAACAAGAAAGTTTGGTCAAGTTGTCTATACAAGATTGTAAGTGAGTTGAATAGTGTCCCCCACCAAATTTGTGTCCACCTGGAACCTCAGACTGCGACCTTATTTGGAAACGAGGTCTTTGCAGATGTAATTAATTAAGGATCTCAAGAGGAAATAATTCTCAGTTTAGGCTAGGCTCTAAATTCAGTGACTGGTGTCTTTATAAAAAGAAAAGTGGACACAGAGAGAAGGAGGCCACGTGAAGCTGGAAGCAGAGATTGGATTTAAGTTTCCAGAAGCCAAGAAATGCCTGGGGTCACGAGAAGCTGAGAATGAAGGGCAAGGATTCTTCCCTAGAACCTTCAGAGGGAGCATGGCTGTCACCCACTCGGTGCCCTGAGAAACTCAAGGGTGGGTTTGGAAGCATTTAACTGTTTTTCCAAATTGTTTTTTTTCCTTTTTGTTATGTTAAGGAGATGCAAACGCCAACCACCCTGAACCAAACCAAGCCTTACCACAAGAGCTATGCCCCTGACCTTTGCCTTATTTTTAGTGCTAAGATCTCTCCAGGAGGAGCTTGGCCCTTATCACCATAACCTGCAGTGTATATGGAAGCATGTTTTCCAACTGAGCCTGTGCAAGGGAATCATTCCCCATCCAAAATAAAGGTCCCTGCTTCCTTTTGTTCAGGGACGCCATGACTTTGGAAATGATTCCTCATGGTCTCCTATTTGCTGCAAATACACTTTGTGATACTATTTCCACCGGTGTAGAAGTCTTATTTAACTTGACAGGAGGTAAACCCACTTGGTTCGGTAACATGGCCTTGCTGACACCTTGATTTCAGACTTCTAGCCTCCAAAACTGTGAGAAAATAAATTTATGTTGTTTTAGCCACACATTTTGTGGTACTTTGTTATGGCAGCTCTAGGAAACTGACTGACATATCAAGTCAATTGTATTCCTAAGCAGTAATAATGACCAATTAAAAATATAACAGTAAAAAGTCCTATTTGCAGTAATATCTAAAATTAACACAAGAAATAAAAGATTTTTATGGGCAACATTACAAAATATTGAAGGACATAAAAGAAGACCTGAATAATTGGAATAGTATGTCATGTTTATGAATAGAAAAGTTTAACATCATAAAGATTGCAATTCTCCCCAAAATTCTATCAGACTTCTATACGCTGCTTCTAATTATTATATGGAAGACCAACGGCCAAAAATAGTAACCAAATCTGCAGAAGAAGATCAAAAGAAAGGGCCTACCTTACCAGATGTCGATTTATTAAAAAGCAATTGCAATTAAGACAGTGTGGTATTTGCACAGCTATAAACAAACTGACCATTGAGGTAGACTAAATAGCCTATAAATCAATCTATATGAAGAAAGCATGATAAATAACAGAGCTGTCATTACAAGTTGATGGAAAGGATATACAATTTAATAAATGATTGTTCATACTGAAAACAAAAGAAAACACCGTAAAATCAGATTCCTACACCACATCACACAAATTCCAGGTAGATTCATTACTAAATTGTGAAAAGCCAAATTTTAAAACTTTTAGGAGAAAATGTAAAAAAATATATTTATGAGCCTGGAGTATAGAAGGATTTATTCAAGACAAAAACCAAGGAAATAAAAACGTCACAAAAATCCTCAGAAACTATAGAAAAAATGTTGATAAATTTAATTATATTAAAATTTTTTACTTCGATGCAACAAAAGATACCCTAAAACAAAAATGCAAGGCATAAACTGTATGTCCAATCAATAAAGTTAACAAAGAATTTGTGTACAAAGTTCATAAAGAATTTTCCAAAGCAAAAGAGTAGACAATCCAATAGAGAAACAGGCAAAAGATATGAATAAACCATTCATATAAAATGATACTTGAGTGCTTAATAAATATATGTGAAAAGATGTTCAACATTACTAGTTACCATATAAGTGAAAATTGAAATCACAATGACACATGTATCACACTCATCATATAGGCCAAATTTGGAAGTATTAAAATTAGACTTTTGGGGCAAATATTTGACTGAAAGAAGCTTTTATACACTGCTGATATAAGTGTCAATTTGGAAGAACAATTTGGCAATATCTAGTGAAATTGAATATTTGTTTAACCTTTGACCCATCATTTATGTCTATTGGCTAATACTTCAGAGAAAAGTCTCTTCATTTTGCTAGGGTAAATGCAGATATTGTTTGATCTGCAAATAATGACAGTTTGTATCTTCTTTTCAACTCACACATATAAGAAGCTCAACAGACCCCTAGAACAACAAAACAAAGACTTCCTCAACTAGGCATATCCTAGTCAAACTGTTGAGAAGCAAAGAGGAGAAATCTTACAAGTAGCCCGAGAAAAGCACACACTACATACACGGTTTGTTAGTCAGCATTCTCCAGAGAAACATAACCTATAGGATGTATATATACTACATATTGTGGAGTTTGTAGCAGAAATAGAAATAAAATTATATGATAACAAGAACATGAAGGGTGGCAAGGAGTAAATAAAATTATACTGTTGTGTGGTTCCTACATTAATAGTGAAGTAGTACCCTACCTGAAAATAGATTATGATAAGTTAAAGATGCACATTATAAATTCTAGAACAGGGGCAAGCAATTTTTTTCTATAAGGGGTCCGATGGTCAATATTTTAAGCTTTGCAGGTGTCGGGGGAAGAGGGAGAATCTCCCTCTGCCCTTTCCCTTAAGGTTCTTATGGCTGGCCAAATAATCAACAAGACAGGTTAGCAGGAGAAAATAATACCAAGTTTAGTAACATGTATACATAGGAGAAAGCAGGGACACTGCGTTTCTCAACACAATAGCAGAAATTCTCGTCTTAAATACCATGTTCAGCCAATGACAAAGGAGGATTTTGGGGGTGGGGGGAGTCAGTTACAGGAGATTACCACTAAAGCACAGTAAACAAGAGTAAGGTTTATTATGCAGCCCCAAGGCCTCACCTTCCACATTGATAAGTCTCTAGAAATGAGCTCATCCCCCCTCTTCCCAATACAGAGAGGGAGATACCTTTACAAATGGAGATTTTCCTTGTAAATGTAAATGATTGTCTGGCAACTCCTCGCAGGGTCATCCAGAGAATGTGGCCAGAGAGACAGAACTTCTGATAAGAGGGGCTTGTTGGTGCCTTTCCTATTGTAACATTTACCCTACGTTATCTTTATAGCAGTCATTATAGATCTGTTCTAGGAAGGAGCCACCATGTCAAATTCTTTAGGCAGTTAGTGGGGGAGGTCAAATGTCCCTAGAGAAAACAACCAAGGTAAAGAGATAGATTTCAGGGTGGCCAAATCTTGATCTCCCACACAGGCCAGAGTGTCTCTGTTCCAAGTACTCAACTCTGCTGTTGTAGTGCAATGTGAAAATGATCATAGACCGTATGCAAACATATGATGGGCTGTGTTTCAATAAAATTTTATTTAGAACAACAAAACAAAACGTTTTCTTATTTAGAAAACCAAGCTGTGAGCCATTTTTGGCCTGCAGACCATAGTTTGCTGTAGTTGAGCAACCACTGATAATAAGGAATGGCTAAAAATTCAATGAACCACACAAAGATTTGCACATGAACGTTCATAGCAGCATTATTCATAGTAGCGCCAAATTGGAGACAATCCAAATGTCTTTTAACTGGTGAATGTGGTGTAGACAAATGTGGTATATCTATACAATGAAATAGTATTCAGCAATAAAAAGAAGTACTGATCCATGCCAGGATCTGGATGAACCTCAAAACTACTGTGCTCAATGAAAGAAGCCAGACATGAGAGACCACCTATTGCATGATTCCATTTGCAACATGAAATTTGGAATGTCCAGAATAGGCAAAGCTATAGAAGAGATAGAAACTAGATCAGTGGTTGCTTGGGGCTGGGATGAGGATGAGGTGGGAACGGGGATTAACAGTAAGTGGGCGTGAAAGATCAATTTGAGGTGATGAAAATGTTCTAAAACTGATTTACGGTGATGGTTGTACACAGCTATGAAATACAACATAGGTTGAAACGGAGGAAGTCTGGAGGCAGGGAAGCAGCTAGGAGGAAATAATTATAGGATTCCAAGGGAGGGCCGAATCCAGGTGCTTTTTTGACTGCACACAATAGTCTTTTTGCCTCTGGGCTAATATTTACCAACTATTTTCCATATGCTAACACACTCCTGAGGGTTATGACACTCTTCTCAGAGTGATTCACTAAGGCAGGGTTTCTAGGGGTGGTGGGAGGTTGTGTGCAATTTGCGAGAGGGTTGAACAGTACACTTGAAATGGGTGGATTATGCAATACGTAAAATATGCCTCAATAAAGTAATATTTTAAAAAGTCAATAAAGACTTCTGTTTCTACAGAAAATGTAACAAGCTGCAAAAAACACACACCTACTCTAACAAGGAGAAAAAAGCCAGATAATGTACAACAGTGTAACTTTCCTGAATATATTGGAGAGCTAGCAAGATAACCAAATGACCTGAATTCTGAAGAAGGACAAGCCCCTTCATGAAGAGATGAGATATACAAACCATTTTGTTTTTGGCAGAGCACAGGAAAAAGAGAAGAGAGTGATGGAAAAGGAAAGAAGAAACCAGCAAAAATGTAAATGAATTGTTAAAGGCCAAGGCTAGTGTGCTGGTTTGAAATAGCTGCGTATACCAAAAAAGAATGTCACAGTCACCCGTAAACTCTTTCTCATGGCTCTCCACTGGTGCTCACGAGGAAGACTGGGGGCAGGGCAGGAGATTGAAAGAGTACCCCTCCTTGGCATAGGCATGAAGGAAGTGATTGGCAGCTGCTAAGGGATGGGCATAAAGCCCTGCAGACATTCCCCAGCCCTTAAGCAAAAGCCTTAAATCACCTA